AGGTTTCCCACTCACTCTATCCCAGCCTCTTGGCTCACGTTTTCATCATAGAGGTGGTGCCAGCCTTGGCCAGAGGAAGGTGGCCTGTGTGGTGAGTGTCCGTTGGCAGCTTCCCAGCACAATGTTCCCATTCTCCTGCCACTAGCACCCAAACTGGACTTCTCCGTTCTAGGCTGTGGTTTGCTGCAATGCTTAGCAAGACTTTATGGAAGGTTCTGGAATAATGGAAGGGAACTACAACATAAAGCACCAGTGCCTACCTCTGGAGGTGGCTGTGCTCAGAGGACCTGGGCCTAGGAAAGAAAGGGGTATCTTAGAAAGAGGCATGTCTCCTCCATTAATCAGGTTACTCAGAGATTGGCATTAGAATCGCTGGACTGAATAAGGCATGCTAACCTTCACCCCATGGGGGCAGACACCATCCAATCGGTGGAGGGCCTTGATAGAAACAAAAGGCAAAGGAAAAGCGAATTTCCACATAACCTTGACTAATGGAGGAGACATGCCTCCTTCTGAGACACCCCTTTCCTTGCCAGGCCCATGTTCTCTGAGCACAGCCACCTTCAGAGGTAACCATTGGTGGTGTCTATGTTGTAGATCCCTTCCATTATTCCAGAACCTTCCATGAAGTCTTGTTCAACATTGTAGCACACCACAGCCTAGAATGGAGAAACAACCAAGAGCATAGGTACGGAGAGGGACAGATGAGCTCTATTATGGGAATTGGCTCCCATCATTATGGAAGCTGAAAAGCCCCACTGTATGCTTTCTGCAAGTTAGAGAACCAGGGAAGCTGGTGGCGTAGCTCAGTCCAAGTTTGAAAGCCTGAGAACCTGGGAGTGGGGGTGCTGTTGGTACAACTTATAGAATCCAAAGGCTGGAGCTGATGTCCAAGGGCAGGTGAAGATGGGCGTCCCAGCTGCAGAAGAGAGGAAGGGGGAGGGGGGGGGAGGGGGGGTGACAGGGAAAGAGAGAAGAAAAGAGAGAGCCTGCATGGCAAATTCACTTTTCCTCTGCCTTTTGTTCTATCAAGGTCCTTAACCAATTGGATGGTGTCTGCCCCCATTGAGTGAAAGTGAATATCCTTACTCAGTCCAGTGAATCAAATGCCAATCTCTTCTGGAAACACCCTCATAGATATACCCAGAAATAATGCCTTATCAGCTATCTGGGTATCTGGGTATCCCAGTCAAGGTGGGATTTTAATCCCACCTAAAATTAAACATCTCATCTCTTTTTCTCAGTCCCCCTGGTGGTCCCCTGACAGACAGGCTGGAGCACCTCTGCCCATTCTAATGCCAGCCCAAGTGGTTTTCTCCAGATGATGTACAGGAGAAAGGCCTGTCAGTGCCTTCAGGGAACACCTGTCCCAGTCACAGGGAGGGCCTTTGTCCCTTTGGGAGCAGGCAGTTATGGTTGCATCAGGACATTCTGGGTAATGCGTTCTGGCATGAGTTCAGGATGGGGCTCACCAAGCCCAGACCAGGTTGGGCAGGGCCCACCCCAAATCGGTTTCTGTTTCTCTCAGGGTTGGGTCGGTTATCATCAGTGGGCATGGCGGCTGGCCTGCAGGTCTTGCTGCATTGCAGCTCTGCCTGTCCTGCAAACTGCTTGAAGGAGAAAGAGCACACCGAGTCCTTGGTGCCCCAATCCAGGTCTGAGAGGAATGCTTCTTTTTAAATGTCCAAATTACAGGAAACAACTTCCACCACCACTACAACAAAGTATGTTTCTTCGAAGAAGCCGCAGACCTGCGAACTGAACTATGTGAGCTGCTGGGCCTCCTCTCTACAGCCAATTCATGCAAACTTCTAGTCTAAAGCCTCTGCCTTGGGGCTACTTCTCAGCAGGAGAACGTAAGAGGTGGGAACCTGTTCACAACGGCAAAACTCAGCTGCCCGTACAGATGGTGTTCCTAGAACTAACGAGCATCAGCCCTCAGTAAGTTCAAGAAGTTGTCTCAGGATCTCGATGTGGACAAGGCACTGTGATAAAAAAGAAAGGTAAGATGGGGTACAAAATAGATTCTGCAGGTACCAGGAGGACATTGCAAATCCGTTGAAGGTGAATGGAGACACACATAGCCTGGATAGACACGAAACAGCACAAAGGGAGAGAAAGGCTACATGCTGGAGGGGCAGGGTGTGGAGTCACATCAGGGTTGGTGAGTCAGAGAGGAGGGAGGGATGTGAACACGTTCTGTGCTCTCTTGGGTCCCGCGAGGCTTACGTGTAGCTTTGCTCCGGCACGTTTGTGTCACATGCTGTGACACTGTGGAATCCTCTGGCATGTCAGGTGGGCTCCTTCCATGGGGGCAGGAACAGACAGTCATTCCCGCGTTCTTTTGTTCTGTATTGCTTGCCTCCCACTGGCTGGTCTCCTGCTGGCTGCTGGGAACAGTCAAAACATGAAGAAACCCAGGTCTCTGTTCACGCGGACCTTAGGGCCGAGACAGGAGTCTGGTGTTAATGGAATAACCACACGAATGAACACACTGGCCACAGGCCCAGCTGAAACCTCGGCACCTCGCGGCTGCGGAAGGTCCCCAACTGAGGTCTATAGTTTTCATTAACAAAGGAAATGACCCTGTGGGGATCTGACTTGTTTTTCATGACTGCAACTGGCTGTTGACGATCTTCTCTGCTTTCTAAACGTCTCCAACTGGGAATCTTGCTAGAACCCCAGCTTGGAGGAGCGTAAGCCCTGAAAACCTCTTTATCAGAAGATGGCCTGAGTTCCTGCTTAAGGCTCGGTCATCCGGGGCCTCGCGGCTGCCTGCACTATCACCCTCCACCAAGGGCCTGGGCTGACTGGGAAGCGGAGCAGGCCCCGCCCAGAACACGGGTCAGGTGGCCACGTCCAGCTACGAGGGCACGCTGCGTGGGGCGGGGCTTCTTACCCAACTGCGCTTCCCAATTGGCTTCGGGGCTTCCTTTGAGCTGGTCGCGAGGAGGTGTGCAATCCGCGCTTTCCAGTGGCTTCGGGGGGCTGCTGCTTTGGCGGGAGTTGGCGGCTGGTGTGAGGTGAGACTCGCAATGGCCGCTCTCTGGCGAGGCCCTGTCAGACCCCAACCCGGACCATCCAGGGGCTTTCCTCCTTCAGGATCCTGGTCTGAGCGGCCTGTTGGGGACCCAGCAGGAGGTGAAGGGGATGGAGCGCTGGCCGTGCAGGGCTTGTGGCGTGAATGAGTCTCTCTGGGGCGTGGTGTTGGGGGCGGCAGTGGAGAGCACCGCTTTGCCTGGTCCTCGGCATCCTGTCCCCCTACATCCAGAGGGGGCATCCAGGACCCGACGTGGGGCAGGTGCTCTGCGAATATCTTGAGGTAGTTCTGGGAGCGCCCGCAATGGCTCTGGCGAGGGAGCAGAGTTTTGAGTGGCCCTGGGCGGGGACTGTGGGGCGCCACGCCATGTTCCAGGCTCTCTGTAGGGCACAGGCATTCCAAACATGGGGGCAGGTTTAGAGTTTTACCCTTGATCAAGGGCCGACCGCCCAGATGTGTACAAGGCCAGGCATCAGTGATAATCAAGATGGAGGCAAATGGGAGGGGTCCTGTTGCTGGGCTAAAGAGACAGTGGCAGGCAGCTGGGCCCTGTGGGGTGTGTGCTCAGAGATGCCATAGCTCAGCTTTTTCTATGACAACCACGACTGGAAACCCTGTTTTAAAAAAAGGAAGAGAGAGAGAGAGAGAGTGAGTGTGTGTGTGTGTATCTCAAGCCCTCTGGTGTTAATGTTGGTTTTAATTCATAAGGTTTTAGCATGTTGTATAGCCAAATATTTATATCTATATCTACCTGTCTGTCTATATGAGTTGAATTTCCCTGGGGTGCCAGTTTGCAGCCTCTGCCATAGGAGTCCTGAGCTGAGTCGTTAATTGGAAGATGGGGGTTACCCCTCGCCCTGGCTTTTACTCTGCTTTGGTAGAGCTAGCACAGACCTACTGGGGTTAGATTTGGGCATTGGGGGTGATCTGAGGCTAGGGGACAGACATATTCCTTGCAAAGTAGGCAGGACTCGCCACAGGCCTGTGTTTGTAGCCTTCCTGTACCATGTGTCAGTGAATGGGGCTATGCAAACATTTTCAAAATAGCGAGTGCCTTTGGGATGAGCCTCCCATGGCTCCCCAGACCCTGGGCACTGCAGGGATCCTGATCCCATTACTGTTCGAATTCATGGCTTGAAAGTGAGCTGACTCAAGAAAGGAGGAGTACCCCAGGGAATTTTTGGGAGGAAGTTACCGTGGGTCAGCTGGCTCTTCTGGGCCCCTCTTGCACAGAGGGCAGACAGCTGGAGATACAGAGATGAGCCTCTGCCTTTAGGACACTCTGATCACATAGGGAGGTAAAACTGTAGCCCTGGAGGAGGGTTTCGTATGGCTCCTTGCCTGGGAGGCTTGGGCTGGGGAATTCAAGGAGGAGAGGGAGGGCCTAGAGGGTGTACGAGAAGAAACATGGACTTAGAGCCCTGTGCAGAATTGGGTGGATGGCTGGGAAGGGAGAAGAGGCTCCCAGGTGGGCCTGATCACAGTGTGGTAGGGATGGAGAAATATTAGACCAGCCTACTCATCAGGGTCATGCTGGAAAATAGGGAAGAGGGGCTGTTAGTCCCAAATTTTTGAGTCAGGAGGGGTTCAGTTCTGTTTTAAGGAACATAGATATTTGTTAATTCAGGGAAATAGTGTGGTGGGAATGAGGGGCTGAGGAGATACAAGTGTTGTCTTCTGAGGAGAAAGTTCATGTGAGAGGGGATTGACCGTCTCCAACTACGTGCGCATTCCCTGTGAGTAGGTCTCTGTGTTCTGACCTCCAGTTGTCCCCCTTCTATTAGCCAGCCCAGCTTCCTATAATGTTTGGGTGGTTACAGGGGTGTCTCCTGGTGGGGAGGGAAAGGGCAGCTGAGTAGGACCTGGTGGCCTCATGGTGATGGTCTTCTTCCTCCTTGTCTCATGCCTTCTTCCTGCCATCCCAGCCCTTACTCTTTCTCTCTGCACAGAAAGAACCAGCATCTCCAGTACAGCCCCTATCTGTGCTAGGAGATGGCAGGATGGGTGTGGATGATAAGACAACCAGTCCCACTCACGGCCTGAGGTGGCCCCTGACCTGGATACTGTGAGACCTTTTGAGGACAGCTGGCTCCTTGGTGGGACCAGTTGGTGGGGCCTTGCTCTGAGCCAGCCCCTAGTTTCCACGCTAGGTTCTCCTCACTGCTGATGGCCTAAGTGATGTCTGTCCAGGGAGTGGGGTATTGCAGTTACCCCAGGAATCCCTGGGTTATGGCTCAGATTCCATATGGCTCCATCCTTGCACCTTTCCTAGCTCAGGTTTCTGTGGAGAGAAGGAGAGTGGCTGAGGTGACTGGTTCCTGAATCATATAGGCTCTCATTGCCACCATGTTGGAAAGCAGACTCCAGACCAAACCAAGGAGCAGCCCCAGTGGCCGAGAGGTAGTGTGCCTCCTCCCATTCTTCAAATCCCCTCTGCTCTGCTACCCCTTCTGCTGTGCCTCTCACTCCTAGAGCCTCCTTCACTCCATCTTTCCCCTTCTCCTGCCAAGGACTTTGAGTCCTCTCATCTCTCCTCATTGCTCTTTCCAGACTAGCTTGTGGTCCTCAGGCTTTGGGATGAAGCTGGAGGCTGTCACCCCTTTCCTGGGCAAGTATCGTCCCTTTGTGGGTCGCTGCTGCCAGACCTGCACCCCCAAGAGCTGGGTGAGTGATAGTAGGGCCGGGCCCCGACCAGGAAGCTTGGTTCTGGGAGCCAAAGCTCTGGGAAGCTGCTTCCTTTGTGTCCCTCTGAGCTTGGCGCTTCCATGCCCCATGCCTCTGCTTCTGTCTTTCAGGGGAATGGATGCACTGGTGTTGGTTGTGTGGTTGGGCTATGGCTTGCTCCCAGGCCTGGGAGAGTTGGGTGGGGGAAGTGCAGCGTCACCTAAGTGGTGATAGGCTGTGCCCAGAGGGCTGGGGTCTCATCATGCCTGTGTGAGTTTTGTTGTTCAGTTGTGGGGACATCACCCACTCAGAGTTCCCCAGCCCTTGGTGCATGCTTGAAGAACTCTTTTTTGGTTCATGCCATGTTATGGTGGTGAGGGTCCCAGATTTCTGATGAAGACCTGGGCTCCATGTTCTCTGCTGTTGAGAAGATAACTTCTTGGAGACTTTCCTATGCCACTCTGAAAGAGGGTGATTCTGTACAGGATACAGCACTTCAATTTTGAGCATGGGCCCCTTTTTCCTGGGCCAGCATAGGATCTGGGATCAAACACCTTTTGGGAAATATTGTGCTGTAATCTTTTCTCCTGGAAAACTTAGCAGGCCACCAGGCAGAGACCAGAGGGGCAGCACAGCAGCTTTTCTTTGCCAGTTTACAATGGCCCTCCAGGATATGCTATCTCTCCTCGTCTTTGGCAGGAGTCCCTCTTCCACAGAAGCATAAGGGACCTAGGCTTTTGCAATGTGATCCTGGTGAAGGAGGAGAACACCAGGTAGTCAGAGCTACAGAGTGGAGCAGGGTTGGGGACAGGGCCCCTTGGGTGCAGGGCTTCTGGGGCCCTGATTTTAGGTGCCATTTTCTTCCTCTGATAGAAAAAGAAGGGCCCCGTCCTCTGTTTCATACAGAAGTCTGCAGGGAGGGGCACTTGGAGCTCTCCTACAGTTCCTTCTGTGAGCATGTATGGATTGCCCACCATGTGTCAGGCTGTGAACCTGTACCCGACTCAGCAGGGGGGTGGGAATGGGGCACAGGTGAGTAGGCTATTCCTCTTCCTGCTCAGGTGTTCCTGAGACATGAGACTGGGGTATGGTTCCTTTCTGATTGAATAGCCCTCTGTGAGCCCTACTGGAGGTGGGCCCTCTCTGAATGATCTTCCCTCCTGCTTTGGGAGTTGTGCCCAGGTTTCGGGGCTGGCTGGTTCGGAGGCTCTGCTATTTCCTGTGGTCCCTGGAGCAGCACATCCCCCCCTGCCAGGATGCCCCGCAGAAGATCATGGAAAGCACTGGGTGAGCAGGCAAGGACCGGGGTCTGGCTGGCACTTCTGGGATCCTGAATGGGATGAAAATGACACTAGGTAGGGGTGGTTGAGAGGGCAGGCTGGGGCACAGCTTCTAGAGTATGAGCTTTGCCTGGGACTCTTCCTTAATGAGGAGGGTGAAGACTGGAGACTGTGCCCTGCCCCAGCTGATACCACTTCTCCCGATCCCCTCACAGGGTACAGAACTTTCTCTCAGGGAGGGTACCAGGAGGTGCTGGGGAAGGCCAGGTACCTGACCATGTGAAGAAAGAGGTACAGCGCATCGTGGGTCACATCCAGGCCCCACCCTGTCCCTTCCTGGTCAGGTAACTGTGCTGAGGGGTACTCACCCCTCAGTTGGGGACTCTGTCCTTCTAGAGAGTGAGTGTTGGCCAGGCTTGGGAAAGTGCTGGACTTTCCTTCTGGGGTGCTGGAGAGTGTTTACCAGAGTGGGCTGTGGCTGCCTTCACCACCGCCTCCCGTCCCCACATTCCCCCCAGCACAGGTCTGAGTTTCTGTTAGATGCAGGGCACTGTTCCAGGGAAACAAAGGGGTAAACAGAGATACACGTGGCTACAAGAAGGAAGGAGCAGGGCTGAGACAGAATACCAGAAAGGGGATGAAGAGACTGTAAGCCAGGGCCAAGAGGAGGAAAAGGAGCCAGGCTTGGGGACTCTCATTTCATTTCTAGTCCCTTGATCTGCCTATCTTGACATCAGCCATCAGCCTCCCTTTCTGTGTTTCCTTCCTTCCGAGCCTAGCTGAGATTCCAGGCTCAGGGTGCTAATAATCCTCTTGTGAGGGATTCATGTGCACAACTCCCTGCTGTCTGCCTTCTCTTTGCACCTGAGCAGGCCAGCATTGCCAGAGAAACACACCAGTGGACTGGTTTCCTTGCTAAGTGCAAATGTCAAAGGGACACATGGCACTCTCCAGGGCTCCCACCTGGCCTACTCCTTCTTGGACTTACCCATTGTCAACTGATGCCCCATGTCATGTTTCACAGAAATATAAAAGCCATCACATGGGACTTGCTGCTTATCCACCATACCTCCCTGCTACCTACAGCTATGTGTCTGTCTTCAATTAAAGGTTCCAGGTTGGTGTGGTGGCCCAGGCCTGTAATCCCAGCACTTTGGGAGGCCAAGGTGGGTGGATCGCTTGAGCCCAGGAGCTCGAGACCAGCCTAGGCAAAATAGACCAGCCTGGCAACCTCCCCTCTCCAAAAAATTAGCCAGATACAGTGGTGCGTGCTGAGGTGGGAGGATTGCTTGAGCCTAGAAGGCAGAGGATGTAGTGAGCCAAGTTGGTGCCCTTGTGCTCCAGCCAGGGCAAAATAGCAAGACCCTGTCTCCAAAAATAAATAGAGGTGTTCCTCCTGTTGAGTTTGAGGGACAACCCCACCTGCCTGCCCACCAGGGACTTCCCTCCTGCAGTTATCCCCTTTCCTTCTTCTATCACTAATTCTTCCCTGTTATTCCAACTTTCCTAGCAGTTTGCAAAGAGCAGGGTGGGTTCGGCCTGGGGAGAGGCTTGGTCCTCTTGTGTCCTTTAGAGTAAATGGAGGCAGATGCTCTGATTCTGATGTCAGGCAGCTGCACCATGAGGTCTTGGGAGAGTAGCAGCATCTGGTGGGCATGAACTCTGGGTCAGAACTTACAGTCCCAGCACCGCTACTTCTTAGTATTCTCTACCATGAAGCAGTTCTGTAGCTTCCCTGAGTCTTACTTTCCTCTTTTGTAAAATAACCATAGTGATGGGGCCTGCCTTAGAGGAGCACTGGGCAGCCCTCCAAGGTGACATGGGGCTGAGCATCGCCCTTGCTGCACCTCAGCCCCGGTGTCACTCCCAGGCTGTTCAGCTGGGCACTGCTGCGGTTTCTGAACTGCGTCTTCCTGAATGTGCAGCTCCACAAGGGTCAGATGAAGATGGTCCACAAGGCTGCCCAGGTGGTAAGACCCGCCCTCCTTTGGGATTGGGATGGCAGGAGCAGAGAAGCAGAGGAGCAGAGGCTGGGCCAAGCCCTTAAGTCAGGAGTAGTCCCATTCTGGTCCTGCTTCCTGGCCTCTGCTCCCAGCCATACAGCAGCGCAGTCCCCATCAGCTGGTGGGAAAAATCCACTGCTCTTTGCCGACCTTCCCTTTATGTCTCACGGTCTTGTTCCCACGGGGCTTCCTCTAATGTCTTTTCATCATGGTCTTAACAAACATTACG